ATATGCCCCAGAAGCCTCTGAAATAAAATCAGTGGGACCACAGTTTTTCTGTTGAACTCTCTCAGACAGGTCAGCATTAGCTCAGCACGGGCTCGGGGGAGGCGTGCTGTCATGGTGATCGAGTCTAGCTCCAACCCGAAAAAAGAGATGCTGACCTTTTCTCTGTTGACCTGAAGCACCCAGTCCCTGTGCATAACCAATTGATCCTGCGAGTGAGCTCTAAAAAGCCAGTCATCGAGATAATTGAGTATGCAATTCAAGCAGAAGAGGCGTTAGGGCATCCTCCGTGAGCTTGGTGAAAACCTGTGATGACAAAGAGAGCCCGGAAGGCAGGACTTTGTACTACCATGCTCGACCCTTGCACGCAAACTGCAAAACTGCCGGTGCTGTTGGGAAATGAAGACATGAACATACGTGTCCTTGAGGTTTATCATTGCAGACCAATCCTGAGGATGGATGCACCGGGGATGTGCTTCTGCATGAGCATTCTGAGCGTCTGCTTGTAAGGCAGCGGGTCAAAACGTGCAGAATTAGGATTGGTCATAACCCACCACTCTTTTAGGATATGATGAGGTACAGACTAAAAAACCCATACCTCATCTCTGAAGGGACCGGGTCGATTGCATCCTTCGCCAGAAGAACAGCAATCTCATACAAGACAGAGGCAGACACAGAGCTGACCTTGGTGTAATACACACCCGTGAACTTGAGGGACCATTTAGCCAACAGAATCACATAGCCACGTCTGATTGTCCGAAAGAGACATCGTGACAGGCTGGGCAGTGCTAACCAGGCTGCCAGAGCCTGCGCGAGTGACATTATCGGCACAATCACTGATGCACCAGCAGTGGGCCAGCACGGGATGTGAGAGCTCACCCCGGGAGGCACACGTCCCAAGGATGAGTTAAAGATAAGAGATTTAATCTTAACTTGGTCCTAAGAGCCCACAGGGTGACTGAGAGTGCGAGAGAAGGGAGCCTTTCCTCTGGCACTCTTGGAGCCTATGGCAAAGAGCACCGATCCTTTTTAAAGACCGCCAATCGCACTTGATTGCTCTTTCACCGTGGTAAATTCCTGGGTGAACTTACCCCTAGTGTCGCCAAACAGGGTAGCCTGGGATATGGCTGTTAAGAAAGTGAACTTTGTCAACATCGCGCATATCTGCCAGGTTTAGCCAGACGTGACTCTCCTGGACCACTAGTGTGGTCGTCATCCTTCCCAGGGCACTCGCAGCCCTGGAGCCTGGTGTTTTCAGAGCAGTCAGTTACAGTGTGTTGTGCATTAGCCTGGGTCGAACCTTTCCTTGTGCCGCTGGCCCAACACCTGAGCCAGCCATAGCAAGCAAAACAAAAGCAGCCTAGCCCACAGCAGTTTCGGCTCTGGCCCAGAGGGATGCAGACAACCTACATGCTTTTTACTGGAGCCAAGGCTAATCACATCGGGAAGAGGCACTGCATGGGTAAGTGGGTTCGAATTGTCATTGGAAAATGATAGCCCACCCTGCCATGTAGCAATGGACTTCTGGTCTTCTGTGTCATCGAGTGAGAGGGTGATCATCCCGGAGGATTAAGCGATTCTCTCACTCGGAGCTTGGCTAGAGCAAGCTAAGGAATGGAAGGTCCTCAAGCGGGGATGGCAGATTAACCCCCAACTGTAACTCTCAGATCTCACCGGGTATAACAGGGGTGGCTAGCCCTTTTGTAGAAGCGAGCCGCAAGCTGTTGAACAGACATGCCTTCGCAGTGATGGCATGCGCTACCCGCGAGCACTGCATTAACATGCTGAACCCCCAGACATGCAACATATTGCTCGTGCCCATTATCTATGGACAGGGAACCATTGCATCCAGAAATGCACAGTCGGAACAACGTCTTTAAAACGATGCGCTGCACGTCCATGTTTCTTTTATAGGAAACTTGCTCAGTTACTCACTACTCTAGGAGAACCAGACCAAAGAACGCCCAGGGATAGGAGAATGTCCAGCTTGACTGTCTGCCACTACGTTGTAATGCATTCCGACAAATTCACTGCAGTTCACAAATTCACATTAGAGGAAACACAGAGGAGGAAAGTGATCAGTCGTCACAATTTCCTTCCACCAGAGCTGAGATCTCTCTCGTACCCACAAATTCCTCTGAATGGTGGAGGACATCATAAAGCATATAAACCATAAGCGCAAGCTGCGATGACGGCCCTTTCCCACCTCCTCTTCAAACCGCAGTTCACCGGCAAATTCTCTCTCTCTCTCTTTCCTGGAGATGGAGGAGATGGAGGAATAAAAGGCTCTCTTAGTAACATGAGGCTCTGAAAGTGAAAAAATATCTTTGGCATTGCGTGTCTGGCATCTTTATTCACAGCTGATTGTGATTGCTGCCATCTGCGTACGCTGATGCTGCCAATTAATTGGTATTGTATTGGCCCATTTTATTACTCTTTTAGATGATTGACTTTCTAATGCAATCCGCATAGTGGAAGTTTTTCCACATAGCATTGTAGTTCCCCTCAAGCTAGGGAACCAGAGATTCTTTGTAATCTTTGAATTATGCCTTTGGCAAACACTATTTTTAAAGATATATGAAATAAAGATTGATAGATCTAGTACTTTAGGAGCAAAGATGGGCAGAGAATTGCCAGTTTGCCAACAAATACACGAGCAACTTATTGAATTACATCAACAAATACCAGCTAAAACTGTACTGTGCCAAAAGGAAGCCCTATGTAAACAGTGTCCAGAAGTGTTGTTAACTTCTCTGGGCTCAGACAACCATCACACACTAGAAATGTGTACTATGGTCTGATGAATCAGTATTTCAGGTATTTTTTTGGGGGGAGAAATGGATGCCACATTCTCCTAACCAAAGAAGAAAAGGATCATCCAGATTGTTACCAGCAACAAATCTAAAAGCCAGGGTTTGTCAGGGTAAGGTTATAAGTTATGTCAGTTCCCTTGGCAATGGTAACTTATAATTATGTGATGGCACCATTAATGCTGAAAAGTAAAAGAGATTTTGGAGCACATTATTTTGTCTTATTTTCCAGGGATACTCATGCATATTTCAACAAGTCAATGCAAAACCACATTCTGCACACAGTACAAAGTCCAGGCTGCAGAGGAAGAGGACACAGATACTTGACTGGCCTGCTTGCAGTTCCGACCTGTCTCCAATAAAGAATGTGTGGTGCATTTTGAAGTGCAAAATGTGACAACAAACATCCCATACTGTTGCCTACCTTAAGACATGATTGCAGGAAGAATAGTACAAAAATACAGCTGAAACACTTCATCACTTGGTGTATTCAGTCTTTAATCAGTTAAACTTTGCTGTTATTTTGGGATTTCCGCCTGGATTTTGCCTACCCGAATTTAAAAGCATCCCAAATCCACATGCAGCGGTGTAAATGCAAATTTTTTTTATTATTTTAAGAAAACCCTGTAATTAATTTTGGTGGTTCCTGCACATGTTTGTAATTATAGGAAAAAATAAAAATGTTTCTACCATAATATATGCAAAAGTTATTGTATTCCAACTGATGAGAGGTGCTATACAAGCCACAGGGACTGATCATTGTTTTCATATTTCACTAATCTTATGTTTGATCAAACATAATTCACTATGTTTGGACCACATCAGACATATAAAAGGATTACTTATGCACTTCACCTCAAAAACAGAGGAGAAATGGCCCTGAAGCGCACAGCATAAGATAAGAGATGACAGCTGTCTGTGCTATCTGGGGCTGCTTAGGGATCATTAATGTATTGTTTTCACTTCTGCGCCATGGAAACGTCACGCTTCATTTGGCAACTGTTTCATATGTGAAAATATTTAGGTAAGAAGAATGCTACAACCGTATGAGCACTGGCAAGAGCTTTCATTTGAACTATAACTTGTACATGTGTCATATGAAAAATATGAAAATGGACCAATGTAAAATATCAAGCTGGGGTATCCAAAATACCTTGTATTTAAGTGTAAATTACTTTTGTACAGTAGAATAAGAACCAAAAGAATGCATATGCGCAAAAAAATATAGATTCTACGCTTTAAAATGAAACCACTTAAGGGGGTCTGGTGCAATGCTAGCCCTTTAAATCTTAAACCGAAAGTCGATGAGGTCCGCGGAGTTTAACTGGTTTGTCATTTAAGTGTTGTGAAAAGGAATGGTAATATTACAAAATGGTCAATGCTTTACTATTCCAACATTTTTTTAAATTTGTTGCAAGAACAAAAATTGGAATATTCCTTCATTTTCTTTTCTGCTTAGTCCCTTTATTAATCAGGGGTCATCACAGCGGAATGAACCGCCAACTTATCCAGCAAATGTTTTATGCAGCGGATGCCCTTCCAGCTGCAACCCATCACTGAGAACACCCATGCACACTCATTCACACACATTCACTACGGATAATTTAGCTTACCCAATTCACCAGTAAGACTTGTGGGGGAAACTGGAGCAACCGGAGGAAACCCACGCGAACATGGGGAGAACACTCCACACAGAAATGCTAACTGACCCAGCCAAGTCTCAAACCAACAGCCTTCTTGCTGTGAGGTGATTGTGCTACCCCCTGTGCCACTGTAATGGCCAAATTGGAATGTGTTTATTAAAAAAAAAAAAGCAATTAAAGTAAAAGTAAACTTAAAAATCACAACTGTCTTTTTAAATTAGCATTTTCAATACGGTTTAAAATTTTTCTTGTTTGCTGTTGTACATATAGTGTATAGATGTAAATATTTTTAGAATACGACCTGATATTTAAAATGTTAAACACACATGCATTTATTGGTTACATTTATTTGATGTATGTGCTCTGGGAAGGCCACAAGAGTTTACATCTGTGTTATCTTGAGAAATGATAACACTATATCTGTAGGCCTATTTATTTTCCAGCTTGCTTTTTTTCTGGGGTTTCCCGATGGTGGGTGTCGCTCAGGGTTGCAGTATAAATAACATTTAACAGATCATGCAGCCACACAAATCCTCAAATTGTGGTCTGGCACAATGATGCTCCTGATTCTGGTGGCCATCTTTGGGCTGGGTTTGGCCCAGCACAACCCAAACACGAAAAATGGTAGAACGTCCATTGTTCATCTGTTTGAGTGGCGTTGGGCAGACATAGCTGAAGAATGCGAGAGATATCTGGCACCAAACGGCTATGGAGGAGTTCAGGTGCGTTTGAAATGATTTCCATGACCATTGGGATTGTATTAGCATTTGGTGATCATGCACGAATTCTTTTTTTTAAAAGATGTTTTTTAATTTAATAAGGATTATTTCTGAACAGATCTCTCCCCCAAGTGAACACGTCAAGCTGACCAATCCTTGGCATCCTTGGTGGCAGAGATATCAACCAATCAGCTATAACCTGTGCTCCAGATCAGGAACTGAAGCAGAACTTAAAGACATGATCACACGCTGTAACAATGTTGGGGTAATGTAAAACTGAAGCTTAAAGTATTGTACCTACCCAGTGGGCACAGAAAACATGGATTTGATGTCAGTCGACTTTGTTTATGTCAAAATTACATCAAATTGACATCTAACACCTAAAACACAAATCAAAAATTTATTACAAGTCAATTAAATGTTAATCTTTTGAAATCAATTAACTTTGATGGTATACAAGAAAACAGTGTACCTTTAGTCATTTTTAACCAATTACACTGTCTTGTCCCAATAGATTTAGACGTTTTTGCAAGAAAGCAAAAATGGAATTATAGCTGGTTTTGATGCTAAATAAAATCTACCTTGTTAAAAGAAAAAGAATTGTCTTAAGTAACATTTATGAAAAACAGCTATGTCATTTACCAGCTAATAACCTTTTCATTACATATAAAATGAAGCTGCTGAACCTAATCAGATGAGCCTGATAAAAAGTGGTTATTTACAAGAAAAGAGGTCTGATGGATTTAGAGAGTTTTGCATCTAAACTATTCAAATGCAACTGAATCTGATGAAAAAATATTTACTTTTAGTGTTGTAATATTGGTGGTCAAAAGGGTGTCAATGTGTTGATGTTAAGTAGATGTCAAGGCCTGCTGGGTATTAATGGACAAATGACACTAAAGATGTACATGTACTTTTGAGACCAAAGCATCCTTCTCCTATGCTTTCTTGTTCATTACATTAGTTCATAGTATTATTTTGTTGGGCAGGTGAACATTTACGCTGATGTGGTCATCAATCACATGTGTAAATCAATTCATGGAGCTGGAACTCCTTCAAGCTGTGGATCACATTTTGACGCCAATAAGGAAGACTTCCCCACTGTTCCCTACTCATATCTGGACTTCAATGATGGCAAATGTAAATCTGCCAGCGGGCAAATTGAAAGCTACAACGATATTTACCAGGTTTGTTTTAACTAACCAAGGTGTTCAAGACTACTAGAGACTATTAAGCAGGTATGAGTTAAGCTGCGGTCTTCCAGGAATTTGAGACCATTACCATTATATGTTTTGGACAGGTCAGAGATTGCCGTTTGGAAGACCTCCTGGATTTGGCCCTGGAGAAGGACTATGTTAGAGGAAAGGTGGCTGAATACCTGAACAAGCTGATTGAATTGGGTGTTGCTGGATTCAGAGTAGATGCTTGTAAGCACATGTGGCCTGGAGATCTCAGTAACGTCTACAGCAGGCTCAAGACCCTGAATACCAAATGGTTTCCATCTGGTACTAAACCCTTCATTTATCAAGAGGTATTTTCAACCGTTTTTAATTCTATCATATTTTGAGCAAATCGATTATATATTAACACAACATTTGACAGGTTATTGATTTAGGTGGGGAGCCCATTAAAGCCAGCGAGTACTACGGGCTGGCAAGAGTGACAGAGTTTAAACACAGTGCGAAAATAGGCACAGCGGTCCGTAAATGGGATGGAGAGAAGCTAAGCTATCTGAAGTATGTAACAATAACTTCAGTTATGTGATAAGTAGATCATACTTAGCGATATAATAAACATATGACTTGTCCTGTATTCATGCTTAGCAATGTTTTGGTTTCTAAGATTATTAGAATAGTTATGAAGTGTTTTGTTTTAGGAACTGGGGAGAGGGCTGGGGTTTCATGCCCTCTGATAAAGCTTTGGTTTTTGTGGACAATCATGATAATCAAAGGGGCCATGGTGCTGGTGGAGCTTCCGTTCTGACATTCTGGGACTCCAGGTAAAATATTAATAATTTGCTCTTATAAACTGTTAAAACTGTCAATCATCATTAGTGCAAGAAATCTTACTATTACCAGTAATTTGTACAGTAGATATTTTTTACATTGTGTTTAACTCTCTGTTATATTCATTCTAAAACCTGCTTTACCAGGGATTTGGTTTTTACCTGGAATTATGAAACACGCTCCATAGAAGTGTTAGCACCACGTTTGTGGTTTTAACGCTGCATTATGATGCTAAACTTGTACAATGTGAAGCAAAGCACTTTTAGAATATTACCGCTTAACAGTCAAAAGTGTACCTCATATTTGCATATTTGGAGTCTAGCAGAAACATTGCGCTGTGAATAAAGAACCTTTTGAGTGTATAAAAATGTGTGAAACTGTATTGGAACATCATTTTTACTATTGTAAGCTTCATCCTTTAAAACATGTTAATATATAAGATGAGGATTTTTACCAGTGTCAATAAACATTAAAATGTTTATTGCAGTCATTCAATTAGTCACATAGACATGAATTTTATTCATAATATAAATTTTGAGAGAATTACATGCTTATGATTGATCATAGCTGGTCTCGCATTAGCCAGTACAGGACTCACCAATTAGAAGATTCGGAACTCCTAAGTAGTTTCTTACCTCAGTACCTTCATCTTGAATAATTATCCCTCCTACCCCTACTCCCCTTGCTTTCTAGATTGGGTGACACGGTGGCCCAGTGATTAGCACTGTTGCATCACAGGAAGAATGTCACAGTCCCTACTGAACCAGTCAACATTTCTGTGCAAAGTTTGCTTGTGCTTCCCATGCTTGCTTGGATTTCCCCGGGTTCCCCAGTTTCCTCCCACAGTCCAAAAATACATGACCTACCATTGGCTTACCATTGGCTTGTGAATGTACAGTGTAAAAGATCATATGGTGAATAGATTTTTGAAATGTAAATGTTGTAGTTTATTGCATTGCAATTTAAATTTAATTTATGATTATCATTTATTAATTCATTTTCATTTCGGCTTAGTCCCTTTATTAATCTGGGGTCACCACAGCGGAATGAACTGCCAACTTATCAAGCACATGTTTTATGCAGTGGATGCCTTTCCTGTTGTAACATTTATGATTATATATGTTTTAAATATATATTTTTATTTGTAGTTAAAACATAACCAGTCAGGGACTAAATAATATATATTTGTACTATCCACACAAAACAGGAACATCTGTTCACACATAGCATATGAAAACCTAGTCTTTTATGTTTATTTTGAAAAGCTCTGCTGTGTATTTTTTAGGCTTTATAAGATGGCAGCAGGATTCATGTTGGCTCATCCATACGGTGTGACAAGAGTAATGTCTAGTTACCAATGGGATCGTAAAATTGTGAATGGAAAGGTAATAGTGCTCTCCAAAAATGGATTCTCATATATTGTTTTCATTCCTTATGAGTCCAACTTCTTAAATTATACACTTGCACATGGCACAGGATGAGAATGACTGGATGGGACCTCCAAGCTTTTCTGATGGATCCACTAAGCCTGTACCCATCAACCCAGACTCCACCTGTGGCGACGGCTGGGTATGTGAGCACAGATGGCGCCAGATTAGGTTGGTCTCAATTTTAGTCTTAATTTTTTTCAAAAATGCAATTCTCCTAATACTTTATTATTCTCCTAGAAATATGGTGATTTTCCGTAATGTAGTCAACGGTCAGCCCCTCTTCAACTGGTGGGACAACGGTAATAGTCAGATTGCCTTTAGCCGTGGCAGCAAGGGATTTATTGTCATCAATAATGATAATTGGTGAGGAACAATTGGAGAAGAACAAATACATGAGTAATGATTATGTTTACTGTTCAATAATACACATTATATTAACTTGATTTGTCTCTTAGGGAACTGAATGCGACACTGAACACTGGCCTGCAGTCAGGCACGTACTGTGACATCATCTCTGGAGAAAAGAGTGGGAACAGTTGCACAGGGAAACAGGTGTCAGTGGATTCTGATGGAAAAGCCACCTTCAGCATCAGCCACACAGAAGAAGATCCATTCATGGCCATCCATGCTGACTCAAAACTGTAGATTCAGTCACAATGAATTATAATAAAGCAACTGAAAATGGTTTCTATGGTCTTGTGTTCTGTCTCCATTTGAGAATTTATAGTGTAAAATAACCCAGCATTTTTAAAGTGTAATTAACAGACCACGTCCAAAACTGGCCATTTATCTTAAAAGTTTAGTTCACCCAAAAAGGAAAATTGTGTTTTTAATTACTCACAATAATTATTCAGTGGTTAGCATTGTTGCCTTAGAGCAAAAAGGTTGCTTGTTCAAGTCCTGACTGGATCAGTTGGCTTTTCAGTGGACTGGATCAGTGTGCATATTCTCCCCATTTTACGTGGGTTTTCTCCAGGTTTCTCCGGTTTACCCCAAAGTCCAAAGACATGCACTATAAGTAAATTGGGTAAACAAACTTGGCCATAGTGTATTAGTGTGTGAGAATGAGAGAGTGTATGGGTGTTTCCTAGTACTGAATTGCAGCTGGAAAGGCATCTGCTGTGTAAAATATATGTCGGAATAGTTGGCAGTTCGTTCTGCTGCAGCGACCTCTGATAAATAAGGGACTATGCCAAAGGAAAATGCATGAATGAATAAATTAATAATTACACTCCACCATGTTGTTCCCCTTCAGGTGGGGAACTCCAATGCTATTAGTGGATTTGAACTTATAAATCCACGAATGGGAGGATTCGGTTCAGAAGCCGCTTGTCTGAAAGAGTATTGAACGTGCCAATGGATGCCAATGAATTGGCAGCATAAGCTTGCGCAGGTGTGCTTCATTGCCAATGAACCCAGCATATAAGCACATGTGGAGCAAGCAGACGCCATCCTTTTCGCTTCAGAGACTTTCTGATCTAGTCGATGAGGGTTCCTCCTGCTGTGATCCAGCGATTCCAAGCGAACGAGAGCATTCTCCCGGTCCAGAGTGTGTAAATGAAGCGGCAGACGGTCGAGCTGGGTTTCTCCCTTGCCTGGCATTCCTTCAGAGCGGTGCGTATAAAGTTGCAAACTTCACAAAGAGAGCAACACAGTCGTGCAGCATGTCCTTTTCAGGATGGCGCTCCGACTGTGCGTTTCTGGATGCGGTGGTTTCTGTCCTCGGATGATGGGCACGGGCACTGCGTTACATGCTCCAGCATGTTAATGCGCTGCTCGCGGGCAGTTCATGTCGTTATTGCGACGCTATGACTGTTGCGCAGTAAAGATCGCGGCTAGCCTTTGCAAAAGGGCAAACCACCCCAGTTGTCTCCTGCTCTGCAGCGGGCACTCGGGCAGATCTGAGGGTTTTAGCGAAAGATAATCTGTCGCCCACGGGCCCGCGGACCTCTCGCTCCTCCAAGCGCTCCATCCAAGCTACGGGCGGGGGAAGCGATCCGCCTAACAGATGGTAGCCCTTACGCTCGATGACACCGGAGACCAGACGTCCACCGCGGCATCGGAGGGTGGGCTTTCATGGTCCAATGATGATCCAGACCCGCTCGCCCCCTCCGGGCAGGTCAAAACGGATCCTGAATTGGACATGTTAGCCGTGCTTTCCCGGGCTGCTTCGGCTGTGGGTTGGAGATGGTTTATCCCCCAGCTCCGCGGCCGGACCGACTAGAGTGGCGTCCCCTTCTTCCCAGAGGTGCACAGTAGGCTCACGCGGTCTTGAAGGGCACTTTTTTCTGCTTGTGCTGCGTGTCCCTCCACCCTCACCACTCTTGAACGGCCAGGGGATATGTGGCGATTGCTCAGGTTGAGTGCGCGAAGGCGGTCAATTTGCGCGGTGCCTCTTCTTGGCGGGGTCCGCCTCGTCTCCCATCCAAAGCCTGTAAGTTTTCTACCTCCCTCGGAGCTAGAGCTTACAAAGCTGCGGGCCAGGCTGCTTCCGCCTTGCATGGGATAGCCACCTACCAGCGCTACCAAGCGCAGGCGCTGGCCGGGCTGCATGAGGGTGGGTCCAACCCAGGGTTATGAGCTTCGCATCGCAGCCGACTAAGCTCTTCGGACTACTAAGTCCGCTTCATGTGCGTTGGGGAGGACGATGTCCACACTAGTGATCCAGGAGCACCACCCCTGGCTGATATGCACGAAGTCGACAAAGTCCGCTTTCTTGACTTCCCCATATCCCAAGCTGGCATGTTCGGCGACACCGTCTGTGAATTCACCCAGGAATTTGAGTCGGCGAGAGAGCAGTCTGATGGGTGAGGTCACCTATCGGCGGGTCCGTAAACCCGCTCCGCCCCCCGTACCATCCATATCTGCTCCTTGCCGAGAGAGCTGCACCGCCCCCGCACACGCCTCTGGCGAAGGAAGCGCGTGGAGCACCTCGGAAGCAGGCAGCCCCCCCCTCCCCAGAACGCCGCTAAGTCTGGCAACTGACCGCAAAGCATCCTTGGGACAGGTCATATGGAGAAGAGTGAACTTGCTCTTTCCCCGCTGGAGGGTGGGGCCCTATTTCCAACGGCATTTTTTTCTGCCATGAAAAAATTAATGAAAAAGCACTTTTACACTTCCCCGGATGTGGCCGGCCGAAATCTGCCAGTCTGAGACACTGTGCTCTCTAGCTCGCAGGTTCGGTGCTTTTCTCCTTTCTCCCATCCCTCGAGCCTCCTCTCCAGAGCTTGGGTGAGAGCAAATCTCTCACCTTCAGCTCTTCCGCGGGACCCGCGCGCTTCCTGGATCAGCACACCCACTCCGCGCTGCCCCACTGCTGGTACGTCAGCGATTGTAGCGATGAGTCCATTAGCGAGAGCTCGGCCTGCCTGGTTAGCGCGGGCCAGCCCTTCACGGTGGCTCATACGCACGATCTGACTCGGCTATGCAACTCAGTTCGCGAAACGGCCTCCCAAGTAGAGGTCTGCATAAATTTCCGAATAAATCGCGGGAGCGGTTGGTAACGGGTTTAATTTGGGACGGGAGCGGGCTGTCTAGCAATATCGCGGATATTGCTATGCCAATGAGAGAGAGAGAGAGATGGAACAAAATCAATGCCAAAAGTCTTGAATTAAAAAGCTTGTTGAATAGCACAAACTGAAAAAAATAATACACCGTATTAACAAGTTCTTGCATTTTAATGACTTGAATTCCAGGGTTTGTATTTTTAGGTCCTGAAATTTAACATAGCCGTTTATTTAAGCTGTGAATATTTAAATGAAAAATATTTCAAACATGTTTTCATACTTAAAATTTCAATAATTCATATTCAATTTCCAGATTTCACTAACAAAATATTCAATACCCTTTAAAAATACAATGTATAATATTCAAAAGGTCATTTTAAGTTCATTTTATTTCAGTTTAAATATTCGCTTCCATAAATTCAGTGGCTCAAATTCGACTGTTAAAATTCAACATTACATCCGGGAACCGCAGGAAAAGCAAAAAATTGCAGATGGAAGATCGCCAGCTGCTCTAGATTTCACTAGCATGTGGAGATGGAATAATGTAAGATTTTTAACCCAGTAAACAGGCGAGAAAAAAGCTAATTAAGGCACAAAAGTAGTATTTAATATTAATATCAATGCTTCGGACATTATAAATGATAAAAAGTATGAGTAAAATGAGTAAATGAGGTTTTAGTCATCTATTTTTGCTCTTATGTAACGAAAGCCAGCTGGTGATCGCGTAAACCTCACTCCTTGGATCCAGGGACAGACATTCTGCAATCTGTAGCATCCTCGAGGCATTTGTCTCCCATGCCGGTATCGCCGGGTCGCTCCCTGCTCGGACCGGTGCGGTTACACATAAACTCTCTTTTGATGAATATGATGTTACACATTCTCTATCTTTATTAACTCTTTCTTCCATAGACGTGAAGTATTATATTGACAGCTAAAGAATACAAACATAAGAGAAACAGGAGAGGAAATCTCATAATAATACAAAATAGATAAACATTTCCGAAGAACAATTAAGAACAAAGATATTAAAACCAGAAAGATTTTATGAGAATGTCACACAAAACAGTTACTTGGAACTGTTAAACAGAGCATTCAGGTATGATTTAAGGTTGGTTAAGGATGGGACGAGTAATTTAAAATAATTTAACATAACATGCGAATGCATTGAAGGAGCGTCTTCAGTTATTATTTGAATGCAGCTATGTCAGGATTGGGATAGGTTATATATTTTTTTATTTAAATTATTATTATGATTGTTAATATTATTATTTTATGACATTTATTTTGGCTATTGCACTTAATTAATATTTCTATGTATCCTTTTTAGCTATCACTTTGCTATCGTCTTTCTCTTCTTTTTTTCTAGTTTTTGGGGTTTTGCCACAGTTAAACGTTTGCAAAATGTCTTTATTTTGTCCAGATTAATTGTTTTTCCTCTAAAATCGAGACTAAGCAGAAGGAAAATTAATGAATTGATGAATGAATGAAATGTTTGGCGTTTTCATACCTGTGCCGTGCGCTTGCACACGACAAAGTCAAACGAGTGGCCGCGAGCTTCGGTGGCCGGTCAGAGCCAGCGCCGCATATCAAACTGGTTAAGAGATGCTGGATGGCTGCCAATATATGATGGGAATTCTTCCGAAGTTTCAGATGATATCTGGGCTTGTACATAATTATGTAAAGTGAAAGTGAAAGTCGTGACATTTGGCCAAGCCTACAAGAGTGTTTCAATTATTATATTAATCATGACATATGTCATGCTTGGGCTTATATGAATAACATCTCACTGTTTACCATGTCCGAAAGTGGAGCTGACGTCGGCACAAAATGTTGCTTGTATAATTGTAAAAAGAGTGATGAATATTAATGGCTTTCTTATATCTGTCATTTCTGATAATATAATTGATTTAACTAGTGTGAGCTTATGAGTGTCCAACACTCATTTAGCAAAAATGCATCGAGAATCCTAAACCAATAACTTTGTCAAGCAAAAATTATGATTTTATAGGCTACTGATTTTTTTTAAGAAACAAGAAAAAAGAAACTATTAGCTACCCTAGCAATTGTTTATTTAAATATGATCATCTCAAAATATAAAATAAAAACATAATGGTTTGACTTTGTGAAATCATAAAACAGACTTGCAGAAAAGAGTTAGTAGAATAAATGAGCAAATACA